AGGTCAGACAGCATCCCAGGAGCAGGGAAGTCAGTGTTGGATACTGTCTGACCTGCTGTGCTTTTCCAGCTCCACATTTATTGACTCTAGCTTCTAGCATCTGCAGCCCTTACTGTCTCCGTACTCACTTAGGAAGCCTTCTAAGATAGAAACTAAGATAGTTTCAGTGAAAGTTCATGCCATCATAAACGCAAAGAATTCTTTGGATAAGCAATGTGCCGTTATGCTTCCCCCAGTAGATTTCACATGGTTTCAACGTTCACTCCCTCTACCACTGACAAATAGTGGCAGCAATGTGTACTTTCTATAAGATTCACTGTGGCAGTGCCTTCCAAACCCACGATTTCTCCCACCTAGTAGGATAAGAGTGACAAATGCATGGGAACACCACAACCTGTAACATCCGTCCAAGCCATACACGACCCAACTTGAAACTACATTACCATTCTGTTATTGTTACTGGGTCACAATCCTACAGCCTCATCCCTAGCAGCACTGTGGTTGTACCAACACCATCAGGACTGCAGCATTTCAGTTAGGAGGCTCGTCGTCACCACCTCCAGGAAAATTAGGGAAGTACAATGAATAGTTGCCTAATCAATGAAGCACACAATGGATAATTGCCATTGCCTTTCACAACAATTTATTCATGTTGGAATTTGACTTGCCTTCATTAGTACAGATAATGATATCTTTTTGTCTGTTCAGTCCTGACAGAAGCAAAATAAATGATGCCGCCGCCAGTGGGAAGATGCAATGTTCCATAGGAATTTCATCAATGAAAATACAACAGATTTGGATAAATTTTGAGATGTTTACTCAGGTCCTGGAATATGGAAGAAAACAACTGATCATTGGTTCCAAAGATGAAGAATTAGGGCCATTAGTCGACAGATTAATAAAAGTAATTGATGCTGCAATCTACTTGCAAGGTAGGTGAAGCAGGTATTTAATACTAGTAATTTCATGGGAAAAGTATTGGTGCAACAAGGTACAGGTTTTTGTTTATTTTGATTAACATGTAGTGTTTGTGATGCAAATCATGAGCTGAAATACAAACATTGGCTACAAGTAAGATTGAATTTAATGTATCTGGCAATTTCTGGTCCAGCAACAGGAATTGTATTTAGTAAAATTTGAGGTTCTATAAAAACCTAACCATTTTGCCAGAGTCCTTTAGGGAAGGATACTGCCCCAGTCTGACCAACTAGTTTCTTGAGCATTCTATTGGTCATTTTTTTAATGTACCAACTCCATTTTTAACAGATAATTTTTATGTTCGTGCCTCCTTTGGAACCAGGTATTACACATGTTGCAGGCGAATGGTAAATCTAAACAGGAACACTTTATTGACAATGCTCATACCTCCACAGCTGGTTCCAGATTGGACAAAAGCTCTGCTTTTCAGGTCACCTGGCCAGCTCTCTTAAAGGTGTAGCACCCCCAACTACATACATAACATATAAATGTGGAACCATTGCCCATGCCAACTATGCATCAACTTTTGCTGTGTAAAATAACTTAGGCCTCCTACATTGCTAGAGGCTGTCTGCTGTCTGATGTGTATGTAAAAGATTGTGTGGTGCTATTTTGAAGGACATGCAAATAAGGAGCAGGAGTGAACCATCAGCTCCTTGAACAGAGAACATAGAGCAGTACAGCACAGTACAGGCCCTTCGGCCCACGATGTCATGCCGAACTTTTACCCTAATCCTAAGGTCTATCTAACCTCCACCCCGACCTTATACTATCATCCATATGTCTATCTAATAGCCACTTAAATGCCCCTAATGAGGCCGACTCCACAACCCTCTCCGGCAATGCGTTCCATGCCCCTACCTACCTCTAACGTCTCCCCTGTATCTACCTCCATTCACTTTAAAACTATACCCCCTCGTAATAGCTACCTCCACCCAAGGACAAAGTCTCTGGCTGTCCACTCTATCTATACCTCTGATCATCTTGTACACCTCTATCAAGTCACCTCTCATCCTTCGTCGTTCTAAAGAGAAAAGCCCTAGCTCTCTCAACTTGCCTCGTAAGATCTTACCTCCATTCCAGGCAACATCTTGGTAAATCTCCTCTGCACCTTTTCCAACGCCTCCACATCTTTCCTTTAATGAGGCGACCAGAACTGGACACAATACTCCAGATGTGGCCGAACCAGGCTTTTGTATAGCTGGAGCATTACTTCACGGCTCTTCATCCCTCTATTAATGAAAGCTAACACACCATACGCCTTCTTAACAACTCTATCCACCTGGATGGCAGCTTTCAGGGAACTGTGGACATGAACCTCAAGATCCCTCTGCTCCTCCACACTGCCAAGAATCTTTCCGTTAATCCTGCATTCTGCTTTCAAGTTTGTCCTTCCAAAATGAATCACCTCACACTTTTCAGGGTTAAACTCCATCTGCCACTTCTCAGCCCAGCTCTGCATCCTATCAATGTCCCTTTGTAACCTAGAACAGCCCTCCGCACTGTCCACAACGCGACCCACCTTCGTATCGTCTGCGAACTTGCTAATCCACCCTTCCACTCCTTCATCCAAATCACTCACAAAAATCACAAATAGAAGAGGACCCAGGACAGATCCTTGTGGTACACCACTCGTAACTGAGCACCATGTTGATGAATATTTTCCGTCCACTACCACCCTTTGTCTTCTAAGGGTCAGCCAATTCTGAACCCAATCTGCCACATTTCTCCCTATCCCATGCCTCCTTACCTTCTGCATGAGCCTACCATGGGGAACCTTATCAAACGCCTTACTTAAATCCATGTATACCACATCCACTGCTCTACCTTCATCCACGTGTTTGGTCACCTCTTCAAAGAATTCAATAAGGTTTGTGAGGCATGATCTACCCCTCAAGTCCATGCTGTATCACAAATCAAACTGTGCCTTTCCAAGTGATCATAAATCCTATCTCTTAGAGCCCTTTCCAATAATTTGCCCACCACTGATGTAAGACTAACTGGCCTATAATTTCCGGGTTATCCCTATTCCCTTTTTTGAACAAGGGAATGACGTTTGCCTCTCTCCAATCTTCCGGCATTATACCCGTGGACAGTGAGGATGAAAAGATCATCGCCAAAGGCCCTGCGGTCTCTTCCCTTGCTTCCCATAGAATCCTTGGATAAATCCCATCAGGCCCGGGGGACTTATCTATGTTCAACTTCCTCAAAATTCCTAGCACATCCTCCTTACTAACATCGACCTCCTCTAGCCTACCAGCCTGTTTCACGCTGTCCTCCTCTACAACTAGGACCCTCTCAGATGTGAATACCGAAGAAAAGTATTCATTAAGGACCTCTCCTATCTCTTTAGGCTCCTTGCACAAATTCCCTTTACAATCCTTAATCGGCCCTACCCTTTCTCCGGTCATTCTCTTATTCCTCACGTACGTGTAAAAAGCCTTGGAGTTTTCCTTGATCCTATCTGCCAAGGTTTTCTCATGCCCCCTTATAGCTCTTCTAAGCTCTTTCTTCAGCTCCTTCCGGGATAACTTGTATCCCTCTAGAGCCTTTTCTGTTCCTTGTTTCCTAAACCTTACGTAACCATCCTTCTTCCTCTTAACCACCTCCGTTGAGAACCAAGGCTCCCTCACTCGACCGCATCTTCCCTGCCTGCTAGGGACAAACATATCGAGCACACGCAGTATGCATTCCTTAAACAATCCCCACATTTCAATAGTGCTCTTCCCTGACAGCATCTGTTCCCAATTTATGTTACCCACTTCTTGCCGAACAGAGTTGTAATTACCCTTCCCCCAACTATAAACCTTACCCTGCTGTATGTACCTATCCTTTTCCATGACTATTGTAAAAGTAACAGAGTTATGATCGCTACCGCCAAAATGCTCTCCTACCAACAAGTCTAACACTTGGCCCGGTTCATTGCCAATCACCAAATCCAAAGTGGCCTCTCCTCGTGTTTGTCTATCTACATACTGTGTCAGGAATCCTTCCTGAACGCACTGGACAAAATCTGCTCCATCTAAACTATTACAACTAAAATGTTTCCAATCAATATTTGGAAAGTTGAAGTCACCCATGACTACAACCCTGTGACTTCTGCACCTTTCCAGTATCTGCCTCCCAATCCGCTCCTCTACTTCTCTGCAACTGTTAGGGGGTCTGTAAAAAAAACCCCCAACAAAGTGACTGCTCCGTTCTTGTTCCTGACCTCAACCCAAACTGACTCTGTAGACATATCATTCTCGAACTGCCTTTCAGTAGCTGCTATACTAGCCCTGACTAGCAATGCCACTCTCCCGCCTCTTTTTCCACTCTCCCTATTTCTTTTAAAGCACCTTAATCCCGGAACTTCCGACATCCATTCCTCTCCCCGAGTTACCCAAGTTTCGTAATTCCAAGTACCCACCCATGCTTTTTAAGTTCATCCGCCTTATTTCTGGTACTTCTCGCATTGAAGTACACACATCTCAAACCATCTCTGTGTCTGCAATTACGCTCCATCAACTGCATTTCTTTATGAACAACCTCACTCCCTGTTGTGTCTGTTGGAAGGCTGAATACCTCATCCTCTGAATTATAAATCCGGTTCCCCACACCCTGCTAATCTAGTTTAAACCATCTCGTACAGCTTTGAGCAAATCTCCCTCCGAGGATATTTGTGCCCTTCCGGTTCAGGTGCAACCCGTCCTTACTGTGCAGATCCCACCTTCCCCAGAATGTGCTCCAATTATCCACATAATGGAAGCCCTCCCTCCTACACCAGCCCTGTAGCCACATGTTTAGCTGCACTCTCTCCCTATTTCTTACCTCATTATCACGTGGCACTGGTAGTAATCCAGAAATAACTACCCTGTTTGTCCTGGACTTCAGCTTCCAACCTAACTCCCTGTATTCGTTTTTCACATTCTCAGTCCTTTTTCTACCGATGTCATTGGTACCGATGTGTACCATGACTGCTGGTGGCTCACCCTCCCCCTTAAGGATCCTGAAGACACGATCCAAGACATCATGGACCCTGGCACCCGGGAGGCAATATATTCGTTCTTCTCGTTCGAGTCCACAGAACCGCCTGTCTGTGGCTCTTACTATCGAATCCCCCACTACAATTGCCCTCCTATTCTCCCTCCTTCCCTTCTTAGCCACAGGGCCAGGCTCAGTGCCAGAGACCTGTCCGCTATGGCCTTCCCCGGTAGGTCGTTATCCCCAACAGTATCCAAAACGGTATACTTATTATTGAGGGGAACAGCCACAGGGGATCCCTGCACTGTCTGCCTATCCCCTTTCCCCTTCCTGACAGTCACCCAGCTACCTTTTTCCTGTACCCTGGGTGTGACTACCTCCTTATAACTCCTCTCTATCTCCCCCTCAGCCTCCCAAATGATCAGGAGTTCATCCAACTCCAGCTTCAGTTCCCTAACACGGTTTTTGAGGAGCTGGAGTTGGGTGCACTTCTCGCAGGTGAAGTCAGAGGGGACACCAACAGTGACCCTTACCTCCCACATCCTGCAAGAGGAGCATGCAACTGCCCTAGCTTCCATTCCCTCTACTCTAGATTTCCAGAAGGATGAAAAAAAAGCCTTACCTTACCGACCCTCCACACAGTCTTTTTTTTTTGGTTAGAGGAGGAGGATGGGTGGGAGACACTACACGTGTAGTGTTTCGGGTTTAGCCAATGCCCGAATATATCAGTTCCTTCCTGGCTCGCGTTCTCTCCACACACCTGCCGCTGAAAACAAGAGGGCTGCTGCTGCCACGAGGTAAGTTTTTATACTGGAGAAAAAAAACCAACCTTACCTTCCCGTTGACACTCTGGCTTGCGTTGCTGCCGCTGAAAACAAGAAGGGAAACCTGCTCCACCCCATAATATGATCATGGCTGATTAGATTGTAACCCCTAATCTACATTCCTGCTTCTCCCTGATAATTTTTCACCCTCTTGCTCAATAGGAATCTGTCCGTGTCTACCTTAAAAAATATTCAAGTGACACTGCTTCCACTGCCTTTTCAGGATGAGAGTCTCAAAGACTCGTGACCCTTGTGAGAAAAAAAAAATTGTCATCTCTGTTTTAAATGGGTGACACCTTTTAAGCAATTACCCTCAGTTCTCGATTTGACATTAAGAGGAAACATCCTCTCCACACCTACCCTCTCGAGGCCCATCAGGATCCTATACGTTTCAATCAAGTTACCTCTTTCTCTCCTAACTGCAGCAGATCAGAGCTGAGCCTGTCCAGCCTTTTCTCATAGGAAAACAACTCTCATTCCAATTATTTGTGTGGTAAAGCTTCCTTGGACTTAGGAGGTTGAGGGATAACCTTACAGAGGTTTATAAAATTATGTGGGGTATAGATAAGGTGAATAATAAAGGTCTTCTCCCAAAGGGTAGGGGAGATCAAAATCAGAGGGAACAATTTTAAGGTGAGAGGAGGAAGATTTAGAAGAGACCTGAGGGGCAACATTTTCATACAGAGGGTGGTCTGTATGTGGAATGAACAGAGGAAGTGGTAGATGCCAGTACCTTTACAATATTTAGAAGACTTTTGGACAGGTATATAGATAGGAAAGGTTTAGAGGGATATGGGCCAAACCAAGGAAATGGGACTAGTTCAGTTTGGGAAACCTGGTAGGCATGGACGTGTTGGATCAAAGGGTCTGTTTCCATGCAGTATGACTCTATGATTTCAAGTATTACCTACCTTTAATTAGCTTTGGGAATCTTGAGGTTGTGAAAAGTCCTACATAAATACAATCCTGTTTCATAGCTGGTATGAAAATGTAATAAAAAATCAATTTTGTGAGTAGGTTTTAGTCGCAGACAGTTGAGGATAATTGGGTGAAGTGTCCTTAATGTTCATTTAGTAATTACACGCCTTGTCTCTAGCTGTTTTCCAAGGATCAGTACTTAGCTTGCTCTGAACACTTGATTTGATCTAGCAAGTCAGTTAGGAAAGAAAAACTTTAGCCTGTCTTCCTTTCCCTTACTGTTTCCAGCAACTTATGTTGGACATGCATGTGTGCCGAATATCTGAGAGTGAAATCTTGCATACTACAACTTACAGAGCAGCGTTTAATTGCTTTGTGTCAATACATTGTTCAATATTTGAGCCACCATTCAGTTAGTTTGTTTGCCTTGCACTACCTTGAATTTGACTGAATATTGATTACCAGTGTTCTGGGAACATCACTTTGATGAGAATATTTGTAGGACATGTGCTATTGTGATGGATCTGTGGTTAAATGACCTGCAATGCTTACGTTTACAAAAAAAATGGTGCCTAGATAAGTTATTGATAACGGGAGTATAATGAGATATATTAAATGTATTTAAGAGTCAAAGAAGATATGTGAATAGCTGAAGGAGGTGGGCAAGGTGGATTGAGATGAAAATGGCAAAGCTGTGCCTGTGTAGATTTAACAATCTTGGTGAAGAGGAAATGACTGTGTGCGAAAATGCAGTCCAGCACAAGTTACAGTTGGTGTATCCACATTAAAGTATTGAAGCTTCAATGATTTTGAACATCAGAAACCATTTTTTAAATAATTTGAATTGCATTTTATATCCGTAATATTTCTAATCTATGTAACGTCTAATATCTTTTGGTTAGAAATTGCTTCAAGTTCCAGTTTTTCAGTGCTGAGCTACAACAAATGTAAGAAATTATTGGCAGAAATCATTCACATCTTTCCTGCAGTATTTGCTAAGGCATTATTTGCTGTAGTTTGAATAAGTAACTTTCAAATTTATAAACTGAATTTAATTTGATTGCTTCAAAATAAATCCTGTTATGACCCTATACATTTATGTAGTTAATTTTTAGATTTTATTATTTACCAGCTGTCCAAGGTCAGGTGAACAAAGATGCACTTCAAACACTTTGTGACTTTTTGTCGTTACCATGGATTCACAACCACAGTACCGATGCAGCTTTCAAATCTGTTAACTTCAGTTCTGAGCTGGTATCCCTAAGTCAGCATTTGTCAAACAGTTTCTGTAAGTATGATAAGTACAGCTAAGGTTCATTCAAAGATACAAAATATGTATTTTCATATTGGGTAAAATACTAATGTGAGATATATTGGCTCACATTACTAAAGGAGCAGATCAGAGAGAAGGTGGGGAGGTAGCGAGGGAAATTTCCACACACATCCATATAAGAGGAGGTGGAATGCCTTACAGTATGTATAAATAGAAGTTGGTTGATAAGCTGAAATTTTAATAATATGAGACAATGGGAAGTACTATGAGAGAATTTTTTTTTAATAAGTGCGAACTTCTGAAGCAGTTGGTAGGTGGGTGAGGCACGTAGATATGGTAATGATAAAAACTAACAGGCTGCAGTAATGCAGGAACCCAGATGAAGAAAGAGTGGGTCCATCGTTAAATGGGCTCCTTGTGTTGATGTCCTGATTCACTCCTGCACAATTATTAGCACCAAGCTAGTTTGAAAAGCTTTTACTGGTTGATTTCCTTGATGCTGTTATAAAGTTGGACTTTTCAATATATTTTCTAACTGTGGTTTCTGATCCTTTGTGTTCCACAGCACACCAGAACCAGGCAAAATGTGTGTACCTGCTTTCTCTGCTACATGAGATATGTCCTGAATGGAGAACAGCAATACACAGATGGTCTTTGCAGAGTTCCAGTGACGTCACCTGTGCAGGTTCTGTGCGGGGATTTCCCATACTCCTGCATTATCTTGGTGTTAAGTCACACTCCCTCATTGAGGAGCTTCTCTTGTATGTGTTTTTTAATATTTAAAATTAACAAAAAACAGCCCTTTTTTCCTACCTGCTTGATAGCAAACTGTGGATGATTGGTCCAAAGGATTACTTCATCATAAACATAATCTTTGTGAATTAGCTTTCTATATATTTTTATAAATAATGTGAGAAGTATTTGAGTAAAGTTGTGGGAGTATGGTATAGTCAATCATTATATCTGAGTAATACATAGCCAGAAGTATTTCATAAACCATCAAGAAATAGGCCAAACGTTTTTCAGCCCCTCCACTATGAAAGTGGATGGTGTGAAATTTAGTAAATAGTCTTGAAGACTTGAGGGAGAAGGGGGAGGAGTACCAGTCAGCTAGAATTGTTCAAGTGAATATTTGGTGGGTGGAAGGTGGTATTGAGGTGGAAAGCAGGCAACTGGAGCTAACCGGGACAGTCTTGGAGAAAGACTGGACATGAGCCTTCAATGACGAGTGTAGACTTCTGGAAATTGAGGGCATGCAGTAGGCATGGCTACTGTTGACTGATACAATATATTTTTACAGCTCTGAAGGATGCTGGACAATATTCCACTGAATGTTTCAGGATAGGTATTCTTTTATATGTCAGCCTATTTACTACTGTAGACCAGAAATTTATGCATCACAAAAGAATTACAGAAACCTTATGATATGATATGCAGTTGGCCTGCAAAAGTAATTTAGACATATGTAGGTGTCAGTACGTCTCACAAATGGCTGGGGACGAAGGAGTCAAACATTGTATGCAGTTGGACACTGAGAAACTATTATTCTGTCCTCTTTTAACTTCACTGTGCAATTGCATGCCAGCTCCTGTAGCTGGCACTGCTTTAGGGCTTAGCTTTGCATCACTTTCTCCTCTAATCAATTTCTTGTTTTGATTCTCTGTGTCATTGTTGGTCACTCTGTCAGCCACCCTGATCCTGCTCTATGGAGCTGTTTCTAAATCTCTCCATCTTTTAATGATCCCTTTACTTATGAAAATGCTTTATCCACGTTTTCTGTTGGATTCTTTTCTGTCACGATATTTCAATGTTCTCCAACTCTTGCTGACAATTAATTTTTCTTCACTTGGTGAATGGTTGATATGTTCTTCTAACATGAAAATTATTTAACAGTTATAATCTTTTGTTGTCTTTGTGCGATTTTTATGCCTTTGTGAGAGGAGAGCATTCAGGAAATGTAGTTGTGAGACGATCTCATAAATTCTTTTTAAACCTTTCAGAAACAAGCTACAAGATGATTCCAATTTGATACATGAAGAATTAGCCAATAATATTGGAAAGTTAGTCTGTGTGCTTTCAAGCAAATCTGAATTGTTGCTTCCCACCAATGACTTGCCACTTATAAATGCAAATTGTGATCTCCTATGTAACAATATCACTGTACGAAGTGAATGTGCAACCGCTGGACCAACAGTTGGACCTCCTATTCTTATTCCATTCCTTGTGCTAATTCAAAAGTCGATGCCTGCTTCAATAAAATGTGGTGAGTGCTGCTTACTGAAAGAAAATACAGGCTGCACAATACTCAGACAAATATTTTCACACTGGACAAATACATTCCATTTGTCATTTTTCAAAACGTTTTAAACTATTTCTTTCAATGCTACAATGATCACTCATCTCACTTATGGAGGGCAGTGGTAATATTATTTTTTACCCCTAAATATCTACTTGTCTGCCAACAATGTCTTAAAAAACTAATGGATGGATTTTAACAAAACTTGGTACATGGGTGGAGTGTGGCCCAAGACCCTGAAAAATAGAAAGGGGAACCTGTTCCCACTCATGAAAAGATTGAGGGTGAAAGGGGAAAGATCTAAAGTAATTGGCTTTAAAAAAAAGCAAAACTTACTGGCTAATATGTAAATACGTAAAATGCACTGCCTGAGAGTGTGGTAGAAACATGTTCAGTTGAAAGCTGAAGTTGGCGCTACAGACTAGACTAACTACTGTTGTCTTCCTGTTGTTATTTTGTGCCTCAGCCATGTGGATTCTACGTTTTCTGATCTTCGATTATTTCTTGCTATCATACTTATTCCGTCCACATTAAAAAAGCTATCCCACCAGGCTTTCCTTCTATACCCTTGAATATTTTGTTCCCAGCTTTGATCTCCTTGTAGCCATGTCTTCGTAATGACTATAAGGTCATGCCCATTAATTTCTATTTGTGCTGTTGATTCATTTATTTTGTTCTGAATACCAAGTGCATTGAAGTAAAAAGTTATTAACTCTGTCCCTTCCTGTCTCACTCTGGGTACTGTTATCCATATAGCCGTCCTTTAATGTGGCTATATCCTTTTGTTTTGTAAGCCTTTATTTCCCCTTTGCTAAACTCTCCCCCCAGTGGTTTAAACTCTCGAGCCCTGTATTACTCTGTATATTTACTTAATGTGAGATAAAACAGCCTAACAATTCACTTTGTAAGTTGAGTTTCACCACGTGTTTGCTTGGTACCTATTTGGAGAAATTAAGGGAATACATTTGTGGAAGGGTTGAAAATCTAGCCAAACTTACAAAGGGCATTATTATTAAACCATGGGCTTAGGCTTTTGTATGAATTGATATAGGTCAACTTCTATAAAGGTAAAACAGCAGATCTCTTATAGAGACAACTGATGATGCTGAACCCAAGAAAGTATCCAGAACAGATCTGAATTTATAATAGAAAGGCAAGCTGGAATGGCATATTTATTCTTTTATTTTTTAGAAGTATTGATTAGCTTTAAAGCTGCTTATTTAACATTTTTATGAAATGACCTTAACACATAAGGTACAAGTAACAAACTCCTGGAACAGTGGCCCCTAACAGAATTCTTAGGGCACTCGGTGAAAAGTTAATATGAGAAACCTTTGCTACTAGTTAAAAAGTTATGAGGCTATGACGAGTCTTAGGATAGTAAAAAAAGACTGTCATGTTTGGACTGTATTTTGTTAGAATATTTTTAATACTAATGTAGCTAATTTTCTCCTCAGCTTTCATAAGCAACATCCCATATCTGTGTAAACATGTGAACTTGGCGAAAACTGATTCGGATACTGAAACCATTTATGGTGCGATGCTGAACCTCATGGAAGATCCAGATAAAGCTGTCAGAATCGCGTTTAGTGAAAAAATACATCATTTGTTAGATTCTCAAGAAGGTGAAGAACAAAGTTTACTTAAAGAGGTGAACAAAATCAGATTTTGAAATTAAAACAATTATGTCAGGATATTTTGGTATTTGGAATAATAATTTGAAATATATGCTGATTGTAATTCATTGTACTTTTTAATAACCATTAGCAAGTTTTAGCTTTGTAGGTATTTATCAGAAGCATTGCAATTTGTGAGTGTACATCCCTGTTCCAATACCACAATGAATTGTTTTCATTTGGAACATAAGTGGAGTGTTTAATCACGTCTGAATAGAGTCATTGGTGATATATGTGTTTGTGACGTCATTTAATGTAGAATTATAAATTAATAAAATTATCTATTGTACTGTTTTTAAATTTAACATTAGCTGCTTGTATCTAAGTTGAAGGAGGCATACGCAAATGCTAAGATTTCAAGAAATAATGAGCTAAAAGATACACTAATTATTACAACAAGAGAAATTGGACGGTAAGTAATAAATCACAAGAAATTTTACTTCGCTCGACAAATGTGCTGTTGTAAATTGGGCAGAACAATTGAAGCTGCATATATTCAAACCAGAACTGTATGTAAAAATAAATATATATAAATGTATATAAATGTATTGCAGGTGTGTGGATAATACATTCCCCACCTTGTATCAAGGTATTTTCCTCTTGTATATCTTCCTTGAAACTAGAAGGTAAAGCAGTAGGTTGGTCTTAATTGTGACTCTTTTACTCTGGTTTTACACTCCTTGTTCATTTTTTCTGACCTTCTGGTTGACATGTCTTCCTTCCATTTTGACCAAAGTTAGTAACATTTCTGTGTGCTCGTGCATGATTCTACAGTAATTTGCACAGCAAGCATAGATTAGTGGTCTGCCTTGAAGCAGATGACAGACATCCTAGTGTGCTATAATAAAAACAGAAAATGATAGGGAAACTCAACAGGTCTGGCAACATCTATGGAGAGAGAAACTGAATTAATGTTTTGAGCTTAATGACGCTTTGTCAGAGCTATTGTGCTATAAAGATTGCCAAACAATCACCTAAAAGCTCCACAGAGGTAAAAATAACTAAAAGCGTTGACATTGTTCCTGTTGGTTCTGCCAGGCTCCATTCATGGAACTTAAAACTCAATAACCAGTCATTGACAGGGAAGAGTGTAAAAAATCCATCCTTGTTTGTTAAAATGCCCTCTGCTCTAGGTATAAGCATTAAAATCTTTATCAAAAGGCAAAGTATTTACATATGCAAGATTATATATATGTACTATTCTTTTGCTTTTTAATGTTGTAAAACAGAGCTGCCAGAGGAGACCTGGTTCCATTGGCCCTTTTGCACCTCTGCCATTGTTTGCTGTCCAAGTTCACATTTGTTGCAGGTGCTGCTTATACAGAGATCAGAGCACTAGCTGCAGCCAAAGGTATGAAGCTGCAAGCTTTCTTCAGCCAGTACAAGAAGCCCATATGCCAGGTAAGACTAACTAGATACAGCTAATAAGCCTACACCATGTTGACTGCATAGTATTTGCTTGGTTTCCTGTAACATTTTGTGTCTATTAGCCACTTTTTGACAGAATCCTGCTATAAACAGTTCTTTACAAACTTTCATGTCCAAGGTTCCTTGCAATTCTTAAACCACCCATCCTTAATTCTGAAAGATAATATCCATTGATCAAAAGAAAGAAGAGTTGTTGTTTTTGAATATGTCTTTTATTCTAAATGGCAGTCAAAGTAATGTGCAATAAAGCAGTATAGTAACATTCGGTAAACATTAATGTGTAAAAGGTAAAGACACTTTAGTCGAAGTAGACCACAGGGCTCATTAGAGATGGTCGTTTAACCTGAGGGTCGCCACACCTCAGGCAAGGGGAGAGATTGAGAAGGAGACTCCTTCATGTTAACCTCAGCCAATGTGGGAATTGAATCCACGTGGTTGGCATCACTTCCTGCAAATGCTGCAGCCTGCCCAGTCAACTCAGCTAACCAACCTCCAGTCATCGATAACAGTGATGTAAATGCACTCATTAGTACATTTGGTGTGCTGGACTCTAATGTGAATCCCTGGAGTCTTGTAGCAACTGGAATTTAACTCTTGAGCATTGTGATCAACAAGGAATAATCTAGAAAAAATACTTTTTCAAAAATGTTTCACCTTTATCACAAGCTTCAGGTACTAAATATGTCATTATAAAACTGGACTGTGAATACAATTGATTATACCCGTTTGTCTTATATAAATGATTACATATGAGATAGAAAATATCTAAAATCTTGATTTTAATTCATAACTCTATTGGGAATATAAACATACCCATTTATTATTTACAACAAAATATAAAATTAGCAAAGTGAAGCAAAGTTCTGTATTCAAAAAACACCTTGTTACATCAAATTGAGTGGGGTTGTGAAGGAAAAATAACTAAAAGGTTTTAAGATTAGATAAAAAGATATATTTCACAATTGATTGTTTGGATAACATTGGTTCATGGAGATACCTCACAAGTATTACATTGGCTGGAAGATTGACAGACACTCTCTAACTGAAAGGTCTTTTTTTGCTCTGTGTAGTCATTCCTTCCTATAATTCTATTGTAGTCAAGAAATGTTTTTGTTACATGTAAATATAATTTGGATACTGCATCTTACACCATTTAATTCCTGGTAAACAAACTAAGGAAAGTGCAGGAATGCTAATTTTATGCTTTAGAAACATTGTAAAATGTAGCCATGTAATGTACAAATTTTTATCTTCTGCATTCTGAGGCTATGTGGTGATACAGCCAAGCATATGCTGAGTGTGATTGTTATACTGGCATGGCCAGTGTTTTAGACTTGTGTTAGTTTAAATATTGACATGATTTTAAGAATTCAAAAGAATTCAATTGTACTTTCTTTTGCAGTCTTATTTATGTGTTAATCTGTTGTTGCTAACATTTATTTTCTTATTTTGCAGTTTTTGGTGGAGTCATTACATACAAGGCACCTGGCAGCCTGTACTAGTAATGAGGGTCAGAGCAAGGACCAATGTCAGCGAGAGGCAGATCATCAGCGGCAGATTACACTTGACATCTTATCTGAAGTAGCTCAAGTGTTCGATTTTCCAGACTTGAATCGCTTTCTCACTGTATGTAAATATTATGTTTCTTCAAATGGTAACTTTCCTGTAATGAACAATGAAAGAATATTTAACGCAGTACAATTTCATTGCATGGCATTTAAGCAAAAGATTTAAGCGCCAACAACAAAACTTAATATTTAGGTAACACCACAGCAACTTAAAAATGCTTAAAGCGATAGGATAGATTCAGGTAAGATGTTCCCCCTTGGTTGGGAGTCTAGAATCAAGGACACAATTTAAAAATAAGGGGAATGTTGCTTAGGTCCGAGATGAGGAGAATGTACTTTATTCAGAGGGTTATGAACCTTTGGAATTCTCTACCAAAGAGGGCTGTGGAAGCTCACTGACTATGTTTAAGGTAGAAATTGATAGATTTCTGATTACCAGTGGCATACAGATTTATGGGGGCGGGATTGTTATAAAACAGCAAAGTGTTCAAACAGGTGTGATCGTTTGAATGGCGGGCGGGCTTGATCAGCTGAATGGCCTACTCTTCTTCTCATGATCTGACAATATAAATGATTAACTGTTCCAAGATGGTTCACAGGAGCAGGAAAAATAAAAGACACTTAGCAACATAACGAGATGTGAGACCACTTAGTTTGGCAAAAGGTTAGATTTTAAGGAGTGTTTAAATGGTATGGAAGGACAAAATGGGTCAGCAAAGGCTTGTAGGGCCAAATGGCCTGTTCCTGTGATGTATTGCTCTTCATTTTTTATAAAGGGAGAGGAGGGAGATTGCAAGGCAATG